CGCGACCCGACTCGCGAGCTAACGAGCTTAATATTCTTAACTCGAGTTTGATTCGAGTCGGCTCGAGCTCGATTAATATCGAGCTTGACTCGAGCCGCTCGCGAGCGACTCGATTCGTTTGCAACCCTAGTTTTAAGCACAATTTTGCAGCAAGGCCAAATCTGAAGGACACTATTATCCTTTCCTTTTCATTTGTCATAATCCATGATACTGCACGAAAAGAAGAAGTTTGAATAATATAGTACATAAACTTGTCCCAACCTGGAATTTATGTTGGGCATGATTCTCGGTTTCTTTCTTTCTTTTTTTTCTGGTCTTCTCTCTTTCTTCTTCTTTTGAGGATATGATTATGTAACTTAGCTCAAACGTCAAGAATGTCTTTTTGGGCCATTTGTTGGCTTGCTATAATGATTTTGAGGAGGCCATGCTTACTTGTCCAATATATTAAATATTCTTTTTAGATTGTTATAATTACCAAATATTCATCAAAACATCCCACACACAGAAAGTTACTTGGCTGGACAAAGCAATCTTTCTCAAGGCAATTAAACATTTATTTACTAGTAACTTTTGGTTTAGTCTTCTAATCAGAAATTATTAAAAACTATTGAGTATTTCATTTTGTTCAAGCAGTCCAAATCTAATCTTCAAACACTAATATCAGAAGAACTGGTGGATTTATAAACACGAGCAATAGAAACATTCAAGAGTCCAAATTTCAGTTGCAAATGCAGATTGCCTACCATTAATTTATGGCACTTGTGATGAAGAACATAAATAAAGGGTAAGGTGTTGCATGTGCCAATAAGAACGAAAAACAAAACACTGAACGAGAGCTGGTTTCTTCATCTGGATGAATAAATGTCAAGAATGGCCAAGTAATAGATTGAAACTAAGAGTGGAATTGTAAAGAAGAAAGGAGAAACATGCAAGTGCTGTCCATGCAAACTTCTTCACTTTAGTTGCTTTTTGGACCTCAAAAATTCAAGGCAAAAACATTATTCTCCGGTGAAGGAAACAAAAATTTAAGGACAAGCAAAACAAAAATAATAAAATAGGAGCTTTGATTGCTCTATGACATTTCTTCTTTTCGTTTTGATAATGTATTTTCCAAAATTTCACAGGGGAATTAGTTCATGCCTTCCCTTCCAGCGTTTGTGAAAAGAAATCTAGCACTCGAAAATGGTTTCTTCAGAATAGCTGGGCTTGAGACACAATGCAACACTATATTCCTATTGCTAGACCTGATCATATCTACATGTGGTTGTTTTGATGTCCCAACATCATCTCTAAGCGTGATCTTTTCCATTGATTGATCTTCTTCGTCCCGATCAATCTGCAAAACATCAGCTAACGATAATCGCCTCTGACTTGTGCAATCCATAGACACTGATCTTGTTATTTTTTCGCATTCTTCAATTGTAGCGCTACTTAGTCTGCTGTGATCACCTGAAGTGCCCAAATTGGTAGCCTGTCTGGTGGGAATTCTCGCGATGTCATTCTGTGATTCTGCTTCTCTGATTCCCATCTCCAAGTCTTCTTCAGAAGCTACATTCTCAATCTCGTGATTGCTATGCAATGTGGACTCATTGCCTGGTGGAGATTCCATCACAGGAGGCAATTGAGAAGGAGAAGAAGCATTGGCAAAAGCAATGTTTGCACGACATAATGGACAATTCGAGTGAGATTTGAACCAAGTATCAATGCACATTACATGAAAAGCATGGCTGCAATTTGGTAAAAGCCTCAAGCTTTCATCATCTTGAAATTCACTTAGACAAACCGAGCAATCTGTCCCTTCAATTAGGCCATCTCCTTTCTTGTACTTGAGCAGTGTAATTGACTTGATCAGAGCCTCATCTAAGCCATTGCCAGAAGAAACAATCCAGGGCTCATGGTTTGAAGGATGTTGATTCTCCACTGATTCTACAATTGGGAAGTGAGTTTCTCTCCTTCTGGAGGAATCTCTCTTCTTACAATACCTGGAAACTATTGCATAGTAACTCACAAGAAGCAAAGCACTTCCCAAAATGCCTATAATGGCAATAACAAAAGGTGGAAAGCAAATTCCAGCACTTGCATGAGGGAATTCAAAGGGAGGTGGAGGAGGGAATTCCTTATAGCACCATTGTTGGCAGTAAACACTACAAAAACCCTGAGAACAATCTTTGGTGTTTGTGTAAGCAACCCAAGGTTCTGGGCTGGCCATAGAACCCATCTTGAACAGAAGACAGAAAGAAAGATTAGAGTAATAGTAACTAATGCCTGGTTTATCACAGCACAAAAACATAAGCAAAGTACGAAAGTAAACGTTTGCTTATCTATGCAGTGATAAGAACTGTTTTTGGAGGGAGGGAGGGAGCACATTTAATTATATAACATGATTTGAGATGAAAATTGAGGAAAGTTTGAGAGGATTGAAGAGCGAGTATCAAGTATGAAGAATAAGAGAGAGTGCTCTGATGGGACATTTGTTGAAAATATGAGCTGAAGGCTGAAGGTGGAAAAGCAGAAAAAAGCAGCTTGGATAGAAAGCCGAGGAAGACTGTTCTTTGATTGGTTATAGTCCATTTTCTTTTCCTCTTTCTTTTCTTTTCTTTTCTTTATCAATTCCTTTGTTTAACTTTTTTTCAGATAATGGTTTGTTGACAAAGAGCTAAGGTGGTCATGTTGGTTGGGAATTCATCAAAGTAATCAATGCTTTTATATCATTGTTCAAGAGGCCACTAGCCAAAGTGAAGTAGCTGAATGAATATCACATTGCATGTGTATTCAGAGCGAGACAGTTGCCCTTTTTCATAAAGATAAAGATGTGAAATTGACACAATTTACCATATCTTCACCGACAAATAGAAAGTTGAAACAACAGAAACTGTATTGATGTGAGACATCGAAATCTGATTTGAATTGCAGCCATCCATCAAGTTAGATCTACCTGAACCAGTGATTGAAATCATATTCAGCTGCAAGACTTGAACCTGCCCAACTTTGCAGAACTAGATAAAAGATCAGTAGGGTATCGGTGTCATTCAAAGCTATCTTTCCAAAAAAAAAAGAGTATCATTCAAAGCTAGATGACCAAATGTGTCCATAAATGAATAAATAGACAAATAGAAGCTAGCTGATCAAAAATACAGAACAAATTTTTAAAAGAAAAAAGAAGAAAGAAAAGAGAGGAGGGAGAATGATTTAAAGGGGAATGTTCTATTCAGCACGATTGAAAATTGGAGACAAACTAGTTGATTTTCCCTAGAAAAAACAACAATTTTGGTACTCTATGGCTATATGCTACCCGTGCAGTGTATCTGGAAAAGATGAGGATCTAGGTAACGTAGGATATAGCATGATAGAAAAATCTAAGGTTGTGTTTGGATTGCATTTTGCATGGAAAAATTATTATAGCAATTTGATGTATGTGAGGGAAAAAATTAATAGGAAAATATGATCACAAAAAATGACGTAATTTTCCGATGAAAAATCGCAATCCAAACTAGGCCTAAATATGTCAAATGATTCGTCACCTTCGTTTTCCAAGGGGCATCATAGTCCTATAGGTCCGGGAATCCTATAAATGGGAAGAAGAGTAAACGCCACTTAACATAGGGCATATATTCTTTTTTTTTTTTTGACCAATCAATCACTTCTACAGTACTTTTACTCCTTACTTATCTAAAAAATGACCTAACTAGATAACGAGGGTTATAATGAATGATTTCCATTTCTAAATGAAAGAATGCATTACTACACACCCTTTAAATTTTACTCTATGCGCAGCCTGCAGCAGTCAGACCTGCATCTCATGCTTTGAATGGTGACGAATGCACCTAAGACGAGTTGGTTAAAATATGGCATATATTCATTCTTTGTAAAATTCATGATTTTGTCCCTTCACTTTTAAGATGTGGAACTCTCATTTTTTTTTTAATAATGAATATTAAGGAGTAGGCTATGCGCAAATAACACCAAGTCATCTCAAGCTTTACAAACTCAATTCATCAATTGATATCCAAACAGGAGTGATCAAGAATAAAGCTTTGATTTGAATGGAATATTAAGAATGTCAAACTGCACTCTGTCTCTTCCTATAGCTAACTAGCTTTTGTTGAGATGAATCATGGTGACTGATTTTTTTTTTCTTTTTCGTTAAAGCACTAATCAGCAACTATATATATATATATAAAGAATATGATGGGCTGGAGTATTCCTGTCAATCAGGTATCTTTCTTGGTAACTCGAGACTCGAATCAAAATCAGTCAAGAATATGATTGGCGTTAAAATCAAGAATTTATTCACTCCTATGCAGAAACACATCCCAGTAACTTTAAAAAGTAAAAGAAAGGGTGGGGAGAAAGGGTGACTGTTTATCTTGACCAACCCTTGTTCTTTTGGTAGCTCATATGCTTATTTGTGTTCCAAAATGTGTATATATATAATATAAACTCCAAGAAAGTTTTCTCTTTTCAGTTTCTCTGAGACAATGTATATCCCACCAAGATTTGCTACAACATATGTTTATCCATAAACAAACAATATAAGCAGAACCCACAAGGGCAACGCTTATCTTCGTACAGTTTTCTGAATTTGTTGTCCTTCACGCTTGCGACAGGCCAAATAATTACATCCATCAACTTGCAAGTGTTAATTCCCTCCATGTGTGTGTGAGTATAGATATATATATACCCACTAATATGATCAACTAATATCATATTTATCACAACAACTCAATCACAGCTGGGCAATCGAGACCATATATCTATATGACCAACTGAAAAATGAATAGGTAAATAATGAATATGCAAATCACAACCATAGATTACATAAACTCAATCATTCATGTCTTAGCAGAACACACACTTCAATTCAAGCCACAGTTACATATTAGGGGGTTTAAATAAGCTTCATTGCCTATTGAATTACAACATTGATGGTTAAACCATTCATAGATATATTAGGATACATTACTTTTTAAGTCAAAAGAATAATGGATCATAATATAATTCAAAAGATATTGTCTAAGCAATCAAGACAGTCATCAAGGCAATGAACAAAAGATAACAAAAGTATAGAATTAGACCATATCAGTCTTCCTTTGCTTTAGCTTTCTTTGCTGGACTATCCTTCATATTGCCAGGAGGGCTATATGATTTTGCAGGTTCTTTGGCAAACTGTTCAGCAATCTTTGTTGCATGTTCAGGAAGTGTGTCTGCTGGTAAATATTCTGGAAAGTCAAGACTTTTTTTTGCTCCACTGGTTGTAGACGTCTGCCCTTCTTTGTAAGAACTGGCTCCAGCAATTTCTTCAAGTACCAACTTTGTCGTTGGGGTGAACATCTGATCCTTTTATGATTTTTCTGGATGCCTTGCTGATGAACTGCCAAGTGCAGAAGAAACTTGAGTGTTTTCTGGAAGTGCCAGTGGAAGGGGATGGTGCGATAGTTCAGTTGCAATGTAAGCCTTGATGACAGTATTCTTTCTCTGCAGTTGACCTTGGAAGGGAGTCTTATATGATTTCAGAAAACAAACAACTGTGTATTTTTTCAAGGCATCATTAAGTTCAATATCTATTCCAAAGCCCTACAGCAAAAAAATTTTTAAGTTAGGTTCTGTGAATTCTTGTCTATGTATATTTGTATTTATGGCTGAATATAAGACATGAAATTTGTACTTACATCTTCCTGTGCTTGCTTAAGTTGTAGTGGAGTGAACTCAATCATTTTTTCAGCATCTTCTCCAGATATAATGCAATGTATTGACCTCGAAGGATCAGTTATTATAATTTGAATGCGAGCCCTTTAGTCAAGTGAAGGAATTAAGATTAATATATGGTAATAAATGCGAAGAATGTTTAATTTAGAAGCATAAGTTTATGGTCTAACCTCAGTTCAACTTCACTTTGCTGTTTGCATGAAGGACAATGAATGATCCAGTCAATGTTAGCATTCACAATTTTGTGACAATTCACACAAGTAGTAGTCCAATATTTGGTGAATCCATATGCAAGTTTGACAGTTCCTTGCACCCAAGCTGCCTTTTGCTGAGTCAAGCAACCAAGAATGGTATTTGAATGTCAATTAGAGACAAAAAAGTTATATTTAAGCAGAATTTGAAAATATCAAATAGCTCTTACAATTGAAAATGATGCTTGAAAAGTGCTGATTGCTTTGATATCCTCTTCATTTGGAGGAGAAAGTAAACAGTTAGCATCACTGTATGTTTTAGCATTAAGCAAATTTTAGATTTCTTCCTTGTTCAAAGTAAACCTGAATGATTATGTTTAGAACACAAATTAAAAATGTACCAGTAAATTTAATTGATAATTTAAGGTAAAAAATTTTAAAAAAAGTAGACTTACTATTGCTTGAAAAAGAGGTCATCTGGGAGTGGAGGACTAATCAGAATTCCAGATGAATACCTTGTAGTGAATGACAAAACTGTAAAAATGGTGAAATGGTTTAGTAATTATAACATAAAGTACTAAGAAGCCAAACAATAGAGAAATCATAATGCATAGTGAAAATTTTACTATTGAATGTGGTCACTTTAACACGGAGAACTATGATTAGAGGGGCAGTGCTAATCATGTCTGCTATTTTGCTCCCTTCATCATGTTCAAATTCATTCCAGAGAGTCATAAGCATGAGTTTCTTCCTGTCAGGTATAACAAACAAATTGTAACTACTGCTATTAATCTAAAACGACTTAATAAAATGATAGTATTCAGGTTTGATTACTCTTCATTCACTATTATAATGTCTCTAGAAGCACAATCTGGATCTGCCTGTTTTACTGGGAATGCGTGAACGACAAAGCCTCTAATATCTGAAACAAAAGTGTTGATATGAATGTAAGAAATCAATAAAATGTCAAATGACTGTCAAGTAAATTAAAAAATAATGTAAGAAAAATTATTACAAAGGTTATCTGAATCAGCATATTTGTGCAGATCAGAGAAGTTTGTCAGCTCAAATATGCAAAGCAACATAGGTGGCACAGGTTCAGCATAATTTTCAATCAAAGTCTTGTAGTTCAAAATTCAGGAGCATTCATAACTCCCAACTCTGTATGTTGGGTCAGCAGGAACCACAATTGCATTAGAAACATAATATCTTTGATAAGGCTGCAGAAATTTGCTGAAGATCTTGATGTGTTGTTCATAAGTCACAACAGAAACTTTTGTTCCCTGATTAGGATTAGAAAAAGTTAGTTTTATATATATTATGAGTTAAAACATAACTGTCATGTTAATGGTTAATATCATATTTATCACACAGAAATTAAAATTATAGATATGAATACTTTAATAGTTAGGTGAGTATTCAGTTGCAATGAAACTATAGTTCTAATATTGTAGTATGTATACAGTTACATGAATACTATGGATTTTTCCTTAAGCAAATGTAATGAACAGACAAATCATGAAATGTACTTATACAAAATCTAAAATATTCTCATAGATGAATTTAATGAGCTGAGAAATAGAAAATCATTTGCATACCTCAGTATCTGTGAGCAGAAAGCGCATAATTCGCCTCGGTGGAACTTCACGAGTTAGTTGATTGTGCCTTCTGTGAACAACTTGTGCGAGAACAGTCCACTTTTCTGCTCCTTTCTGAATGTCTAGCACTGAAGATATATGTCTAGGCATGATGACCTATATTGGTAGAGAAATCAGAGTCAATTAAACAAAATAATAAATTTCTAAACAAAAAAGGCCATGAATGTTAAAACCAGATAATGTAATCTGGGAAGCTTTAAGAATTTCTTTATATACTATATTTTTAGTATGATCAGTGCATGATTCATCAAAATAAGTTGGCCTGATAAGGACTTTTACAGCCGAAGCTGTTTTGACTCTTGAAAGTGCAACATATAATTGGTCATGTGAAAACACAGGTTCTTTCAAATATATACCAACAAAATCTAAAGTTTGGCCTTGTGCTTTATTAATTGTCATTGCAAAGCACAAACGAATTGGAAATTGTGTTCTCTTATATGGAACTGGATATTGTTCATCACTTGGTGGCTGCATGGAAATCCAAAATGATTATTATACGTTCTAATAAGAGTTCTAAAAGATTGTGCCTCTTGTGAAGATGAAGTCAATAGCTCTTTAAAGATATCTGGAATTTTGTTTTGAGCTAAAACAACTTCACCATCTTGACAACAAAAATATGTTGTCTCAGAAAAAAACTTCTTCGCTCCACAATGAGGACAATCTAGTTGGGTTGGTAGGATATCAGCTTTGTTAGGAATTATATCCAACAAAGCTCTTCCTGTTTTGCACCCTCTTCCTAAAATACAATTATTTTACAGCATTTAGTAATCAAACCATTCAATTGATTTTAATGGCAGTGGAGAAAAACATGTTAGAAAACTTAAAAAGTATTAACTCTAGACCTGGCTGAGTTTTTTTCAGAGATGATCTGCGATGCTTCGAACGACATTGAGAACTATGCTGAACATCAACAACTGAGGAACGATGATTAACAATTGTGGTGCTTGTTTGCTTTTCAATTATATTTGTAGAAGCAATTGATCTAGACTTTGCTCTGAATCTTTTCTTTTTCCATCTAAAGTAGGCCTGTCTTCTATATTCTTTCTTATTTATCACCTCTCCAGCATATATGTCAAAATATTCAAGAGGCCTGTTATTATAAGATATAATTGGAGTACTACCTATTATAGGTATATGCTTATTCACAAAGAGGGAAGGAGTATAATTAGTTAGTTGCATGTCTAGATTTGGTATTTCAGAATAACCATTTCTCCCTTTAACATTTGTGACTTGCTCACTCTGAAACTGACTTCCTATAACAAATGATTGCTCATTGCAGTTGACTTGTGATGAACCAACAGGCTGAACATCAGACAGATTGATTAAAGATGAATTCATTGCAAACAAACAATGTTTGTCAGTAGAATCAGAGGTATGATGAATTCCTCCAGCATTTTATGGAGGGAAGCAAACATTTTTACCTCTGCAATCAGTTGGCAGAATTAGATTCCTATCGATGTGATTTTGTGAAACACATGTTTCAACAAAGTGATTTTCACAAATGTCATTCTCATTGTTGATTACAAAAGGAGAATATGGCTGAGAAATAGAAGAATCGACAGTAAACTTCATATGCTCAGTCAGCATATTTAAGTTTTTCTTTTTGCTTCTTTCTAACATGCTTAGATCAAAAGCATCATCAAATATCTCATCTATCAGTCTAAAACTCGAACTAAATTTTCTTTTTTTCTTCATTATGAAACACAAAAGATCAAAATCTAATTTTACTATAAATACTATAAAGGAAGTAAGATACTAAGCGAAAAGCACATAACAATGACAAAATCAAAGCATCCTAGAATAACTAAAACTAACTAATATATATAGAATGACTACCTTAATAACCCAAACTACAATAACACTAAATTATGTAATTTTTCAATACATAAACAGGTAACAACATCATGCAGCATTTGAAATTAAAAAAGAGGCAAAAATAAACATAAGCTAATCCGAAAAATAACCATCATAGCATAACATGAAACACATAGAGGTCGTTAATTAACGGAAGGCAATAGACAGATGCAACAACAATGAAACAAAAAAATTGCAGTTCAAAATGGAAGGAGAGAAAATAGAAACATACCTATATTTTCTTTGCTCGGCTAAATGTTGGCAAAAGTCGAACAACATTTGAAATCAATAAAAACAGAGAAAAAAATAAGCATAAGTTAATCGATAAATTACATCATAATCATTCTTTTATGCATAATATGAAACACATGACAGTGTCTAATTAACGGAAGCCAATGATAAACAGGAGGGAAGAACATTCAAAGTAAAAAAATTGCAACTCAAAAATAAGAAGAGAGAAAATAGAAACATACCTAGATTTTGTTTGCTCCTCTTCTGAATACCGGCAAAAGTGGGAAACAAATGTATATATAAGGCTGGAAATAAAAAGTTCTGAAAGCTGTACCATGGATGATAACTCGGTACAGTAGCCATACCTAAAATGAGCTGTTTTTTGGGGAAAAGAAGAATTCACGTGGATGAGGAGGATTTTTTGGAAGTGAATCGAAAGGAAGTACAATTAGTTGCTGGAACAATTGGCAGAAAACTGAAAATTTTGCAGGCTCGCAGATTTTGGGGAAAGAAATTTCAGTGACCTAATTTTTGGGGGAAAACAAAAATTCACGTGCGTGCGGAGGAATTTGTGGGTTGCAATCAAAAGGAAGGACAAAGTTGTTGAAGGAATTGGCTGAAAATTGAACATTATGCAGGCGCATATAGCTGGCTACTAATCGGCGAAAAGGAAGAGGCTATGCGACGCAAAGAAAGAGGAAGGAAACTCTGCCTAAATGAAGAAAAACTTCAGTGACTAATAAGACCATTTATTTGACTTCGTTGGTTCCTGTCAAACCAAAGAAAGGGGCCGAAACCTTTTCCTTTCCTCACTGTTTTTGAGTACAAAAATGGCCCACAGTTTGGAACGAGAAAAGACTGAAGTCACGTGCTTCGTCATAGCTCTATAATGCAGGGAACAAAGACGTGGAGAAGTAATCTTTCTTTGGAAGACTTTGGCTGTCTAACGGCTTTTATATTTGGAATATTTAATTAGGACCCCATGTGATAAAAGGACACCCAAATAGTTTACAACTATTTATATTTGACCAAAGAAATATAAAAGGAATAATTTAAATGGACAAAAATAACCCTAAATAGTTAGCAACTATTTAAAAAGCTATTTTTCATAAAAGGATTTAATTGACCTTTCTCACCAATTAAAAACCAAACAAAAGAATCAAATGAAAATATTTCAACTATTTTTACCAATTAGCCCCTAAATAGTGAGGAACTATTAGCCCTTTGAACTTCAATACCAAGGCTCAAATAGACATTTCTCTCTCATTAATGTCCAAAATAAAGAAATTAAATTTGTTTCCTCAAATGAGACCTTGACACTTGGCATCAATGGAGAACTTGAGTTGTTCTCTTATCTAGTTGGTAGATATATATATATATATATATGATTCCACAACTACCCTACAAGGATACACGCCTACTCTCAGGTAGGTTGCAAACGAATTGAACCGCTCCGGAGCCGCTCGAGTCCAAGCTTGAGTCGAGATCGAGTCGATTAAGTCGAACTCGAGTTCAAAAATATTAAACCCATTAGTTCACGAGCTCGATTATATATATATATATATTTATTTATTTTAATAGTAAATTTACATATATATCTCTAATATATTATTATTTGTTAAGAAAATTTATTATTTTATTTATTTTTTAAAAATAAAAATAATTATGTTTTTTTAAATTTAAGATCGAACTTGACATTTTGACCTCGTCGAATTTGAGTTTCTTAAAGTTAAGTTGAGACCCAGTTTGATTAGGTTAAAACTTGACTTGACTCGACTCGTTCGCACACCTATACTTGGGTCACATTTGCAAAAAATATCTAGGGGAACATTTCTTGTGTTTATAACTCTATAGATCTTTATTAAACAAACCAAAATTTTGTACTTAGATCTTGTATTATATCCATTGGAAAATGACATGTTTCATCCCTTACATGTCGCAAAAATATTCCTTTCGTCCCTCACTTTTAAAATGAAGCAAATTCGTCTCTGACATTTAAAAATTAAAGCTATTACATCCCTGAACTTAATTTTCAATATGAATCAAACCATCCAATAACTCAGTAATAAATTTTGAAAATAGAATTGATAGATCATTCGGTCAACTTCATCATATTCACATGGCATTTATTAAACCAAAAAAATAAAAATTATAACATAAAAGGCCATTCTTTGTCTTGGAATAATAGAGTTTTTTTTTTTGATAAATCTTTTCATGCACCGTTAGTATATCCGCTTGCGAATCTAGATGTGTATCATAAATATAAAATTTGGTGTTTAAATTTAAATTAAAATGATATGGTGGTACATAAAACCGTCAGTATATACAATGATAATGTAGAAATGATTAATCTTTCTTTTTTATATTATAATTTTTTCTTTTTAGGTTCATTAAATTTTACATGAATATCAAGTTGAGTTAACCAAGTGATCTACCAATTATACCTCCAAAATTTGTAATCAGGTTGATTGGTGATTTGATTCAGATTGAAATTTGGATTCAGGGATATAATAATTTTAGTTTTTAAATGTCAAGGACGAAATTACTTCATTTTAAAAGTGAAGGACGAAAAGAATATTTTTGTGAAATGTGAAGGATGAAACCGTTCATTTTCTCTATATCCATTTCCACTACTTTTCACTTTGCTTTATTAAGTCCTTGAAAGAAAAAAATGAATTAAATTTGATTGGTTTTGAATTTAGCATGACTCGATGTTTGATGCCTCGGTCTTTTGCATATCGAATGGAAAAAAAGATCGTAGGCATCATTCAACTTCCCACCCCATTCGGAGGTCGAATTTTGAAATTATTGGTTTCTTCAATTGATTTGAAGTCCTTACAACTTGTATTTGTGTTTTTTTTTTTTTTTGGGGAAAAATAGGTCAACTCACTGGTAATCTTTTCATTGCCTCACAATAGCATATCAATGGAACTTCTAGGATTCACCAAGGCTAAAGTAAGAAAAGTCTCATTTATTTGTAAGTAATTGCTATGGAGATTTCACAATCATATTTGTGTACACAAACTATGTGCCTAGTATTGAGCTGCCACAAGATTCATGATTGTACAATTTCTACGTTGCTAAGACCGTATAGTGTAAAATCTGCAGGGAGAATATCATACAACAGACGAAGGCCGTTACAGACTGCTAGCTTGAGTACTTACAGAGTATAATCTAAGGAAATGCAAAAACGTAGATGATGGTGCTCCTGGCTGCTCATATACAGGATAAGAGGAAGAACATCAACTTAACTTGTAATTTTCCTCTTCTGTCTGCAAGCACCATCATCAAAGCCAGAATCAGTGTGAAGCTATTGATCCGCAGGTTGTTCCTTGGTCGTTTCTTCCACTTCATTTTCAGATTTGTCATCATTCTTTTGACTGAACTTCAATTTTATAGGTCTGCCCAACAGCTCCTACAAAATGCAAATCGAAGATGACAAATAATGTAATGAACTCTTGCCAAAAAATTATGTAAGAGCATAGAGAATTAACACCATAAATTAATGTATGACATAGAATTAAAGAATTCATGTTTCACACGGAGAGACAATTGTTGATCACCCTGCCAGTGTTGCAGATGTATATACATTGGAGGGAAGTGAAGATTAGCAGCAATAAAACTGTAATCTGAGCACTATAAAATTACCAAGGAAATGAAATGAAAGCATAGGGGTGAATAAAACTAATTTGCCAGTAAGATACCATTTCATAAACAATTACAGGTGTAACCCTTAATACAAATCATTGGGAATGTTGAAAGCTAGTGAGTTTCTCTATGAAGAATCTCCAGTAAGCAGAACTCTCAGTAAGGGTTATTATCAGACAAGCAGGGACCAAAAGCATATCCCCAAAGTCCATATTTCTACAATTTGCAGTGCATAAAAGTTTATGTACCCAAAGATTTCTGCCATGAGATGTGCAGATTGTGCACAATTAGAATATAGAAAACGTGTATTCTCATCAACTTCAGGACTTAGCAAAACCTTCTAATAAAATGCTAAGCATATACACTAGTTTATTTCTCTTTTTACTCCTGGCCCCACTTAATGCACTAAAACGACCAGAAATACATCCAAAATCAGTTTCTTCTTCCTTTTGACATCATCTTTCAAAATGCTAATTCCACTTGATGCTTCTCAACATACACAGGCCCAAAAGGAGTGTCCATGCTCCTAATATCCATTACTTAGTTGTTCAATCTGACAATCTGTTTGTGATGGTTAATTGGCTATTTACTGAAGAACCCAACGTCCTTCAGGTACACTCTATATTGAAATATATAAATTATGTAATACACATACTAGGGTTACTTCGACAGCCTTGTACAAAATTTAGAGAAGGTGCTAGGCTTAGTAGGCTCAATAGGCATTGGCTCATGGAATTTCTGTAGACTGTTGGATATGTAAAAAGTCTCTAGCAGCGAGTACAAAAGAGTGCAATAATACTTGAAGATGAAACCAAGTTTGAATGTCTTGATCATTATCCAACTTGTCATGTTGAAAGTAAGTACCACTTGTTATTCAAGTGTATATTGTTGGGTATCTACAAAATCTGTAACAGTGAGATGCACAAAAGGGTGCAATAATACTTGACGATAAAACCAAGTTTGGGTATCTTGAACATCATCCAACTCGTCATGTTAAAAGCTAATATCACTTGTTATTCCTTCCTTGAAGACATGATCACCTTATACACTCCTACCATCCACCAATGAAACTACTAACTCTTAACTACATCAGTAATCCCTTTAGTTAAGTACATCATACTCTCCATTTCAAATCCGGCACATGCATACTTAAAACTCTAGTTTAGATCTTTAGTTTCCAATATTTGGATATCCCAATCAACGTCTCAAATAATCAAATTACTTGTGTTCCTGATATTGATTCTAACATCTTTCTAACTTACCATGAGCTACCGATATACATGCCCACTCTCTCCTAGAGGATTGTACCAAGACAAACTGATATGAAGTTTGGAGAAGATGGAGTTCTTTGAAGGCTGTAGACATGCATAAAATAATGTCACAAAAAAATAATTGTTTCCACACCAAACAATTCTGTGAACCCCGTTGTCAAGTCAGTTGAAAGAAAGTCAACCAAATAGAAGCAGAAATAGTTTATTGTTAATACCTTGCCCTCCAAAGAAGAGATTGCAGCTTCTGCTTCCTCCTTTGTGGCAAATGAGATAAAACCATACCCAGCAGATCGTCCTGAAGGACTATCGAAGACAACCCTAGCCGAAACTGGACTGTAGGCAGAGAAGAATTCTTTCAGGTGGCTAGACCTCACCTTCCAGGCAAGATTGGATGCATACAACTTATGGCAGGTCTCACCACGGGAAGGAACCTCAGGAGGTGAACGTGAGGGTTTCTTGAATCTCTTTGCAAGCTCTACCCTGATAATCCTACCAGACAATTCCTGTGCCACAAAACATAACATAAATAAAATACTGGGACAGATGTTGTTAGAGATCTTTCTTCTGTTTGAACTCATGAACACATATATATTCAAACAGAAACACCAAAGGAAATGGGGAAAGGCGTATATTTGCCTTCAGTCTTTCTCAAGGTCAATGAGCAAATATATCTTCTTTTGAAGCTTACTTGGTGTCATTTATAACATTAACGAAGACAAAATAATTACACAGAAATCTTTTGACCCCTAAAATACTACTTTCTTCAAAGCCGCTGCTAAAAAATATTACAACTAAAAGAAACCAAGCACAATGATGGCCACCTTGAATCCTCAGGAATTTGCTTTCTATTCTGAAGAAGGTCTTTGATGAAATCATCAACGCGGCTTACCACCAATCATAAGCTGCAGCCTTGAAGTGATTGACACTTTGTCAAAGGCACAATAAAAGCCTTTATCATACCCTCTTAGAATGCCACAATTCAGTTAGCAGAAGATGCATGGGCATGCACGCATATTCTTTGTCATTCCCTACCCTTATAGTATTGATCACTTCTTCTATTTTTGCTACAAATCTATACCCTCCTTTGTAGTTTCTTACAATCTACTTCCTGAAGGTTTAGTCATGCTTATTACCATGTTCAAATGGAAGGACAGATGAAAAAGGGGACTTATTGCTGAAGCACGGAAGAATCACCTTTAGCAACCAGAGTACTTGCAGAACTTGCCAGGCAGAAAAACCCCAGGCCAGTGCCAACTGGTACATCTTCCTCAAGAAAATTAAGACAGCAAAGGATTTCCAAGGACTCCCCCACATTTATATTTCCTCACTGTACATTATGCTACTAGATCACTTAAAGATAGCCCTTTATACACCCTTTTTTCATTGACATAAAGTCACAAGCAAAGAATTCAAACTTGTAAAAAGTTGTAATTGGTGTATCCCATGGTATACCCTGGCAAAATGACTAAAGACATCGAGTACTAAAGGAAAATTATCAAAAATAATAGTTGTTATGAATTAGGTTGGATGTTTTCAATGCGATTTTTCCTAAAAAAATTTTGCATAACCATTTGAAATATAGATGATATTGGACTTTAACCAGAAAGACGTAAATAAGAATTCATTTCTTTAGAGCTTAGAAGGTCATTGCTCCAGTGAAAAGTGAAAGAACAATTTAAATTCATAGTTGACAGTCAATAAGAAAACCATTATCGATTAAAAATAATCAGCATGTTTCCTTAAGATAGCCAGCACAAAAGCAAATGTTGATGGTTTACAGCCTCTGCAGATTTGAAGATATATCTTACATTACGTAATTTTTGACAAACATTACCAGTCTCTCACTTGAACCAGGAAAATTATATCAGTATTCACAAGTCTCCGGAGATGAGAATATTAATATCATTTGGATGGAAAACTTGTGGAGAAAAGAAGGGATATCAAGGGAAAATATTTATCAACATTCTTCAAGTATTTTGCAAGGGGGTGACAAGGAAATAACTTTCTCTGGTGTTTTTTTGGGGGAGGGGGGGGTGCGAGGTTAAAGATGTGTATCCATGATCTGTTATTGTGTTCTGTCCTATTTTCTGCCCCAACAGTATCCAACAAAAGTTTTCCTTTCTCATCTTTCTTTTCCTCTTATTAGACTTTTCATTTTGCTTATATTATAACATGCATCACAAATACAATTTTAGAACTTAAGATGAAGGCACAACTCATCAAATCCAGCTATAGATGAGTATCTTATATGCAGCTAGAATTACACCTTAAAGATTCAAATATCATTGACTAACGAAGCAAAACTACCATTTTCTCACATTATTGGAAGTCAGATATGTAAATATCAACAAAATTGCTCCAATACTCTTACCCATCACTTTGCGCAAATACACACTCATTCCACCACTCAATCACAATTATTTCCTTATCCTTTCGGCTCTGATAACAAACACATTGTGCTATACATCTAGTAAACCATTAAAGGACACTGATAATAGACAATAATCAGAAAATTTACTTTCCAAAACAACTCACATGAGAGTCAAATTTCTTAATAGCAGCCTGAGCCTCTTCCCCAGAAGCCATTGTCACAAATGCAAAGCCCCTGTTTTTACCATCTTTCTGCTTTATAATCTGCCACATCCAAGAAAAACAAAAACCACTACTCAAAATCACTTCTTCAACAAATGCATCCAAGAAAAAACAGAAAACACGATTCAAAATGACTCCTTTAACAAATTCATCGAGATAAACAGGACCCACCATTCAAAAATAACTTCATTAACAAATTATGCAGGACAAACAAAACCCACGATTTAATCTCACTTCAATAACAAATTCAGACCCAAAAGAAAAAAGAACCACCAACTAAAATCACTTCTTCAACTTCAACAAATTCATCCAAAGTAAGTTCTTCAACAGAAATATCCCACTCATGGAAGTACCTCAACATCAGTAACAGTGCCACATTCAGCAAAGAGGTTCTTAATATCAGCAACGGTGAAGGACCATGGCAAATTTAGCACAAAAAGCTTTCTTTTCTGATTGGTTTGTGGGGCTGACTCTGCTTTCTCTTCGGTTGGCTCTGTTTTTTCTTCTACTGTAACAACTTCTTCAACTGTGGAGGTTGAGCATATTTGGAACCTTGGTTTTCTTGAGGAGTGCAGTGGAGGGAGGGGATATAGTGGGCGTTTCGAGGAAAAAGGAAGGGCACAGGTGGAAATGGGAAGTTTAAGGAAGTGCAAAGAGCATTTAGGGGAAGTTGACGGGAGGGAAGAGGAAGAAGAAAGTATGGAGAATGCTGCTGCTTCAATTGCAGCCATTGCTGCTGAGTGCTGACTGAATGAAGGAACCGTCGGAGAAGATGGTTTCCAGAGATTTTTCTGTTGAAAGATTACCTCTCAATTCCCAAAGCAGATCATGCAAATTAATTTGGCTTGGGCTGACAAGAGACCAGGCTGCCAAACTGATGGGCTTGTAACTATATTTCAGCTCAGGCCCAATCCTTCTACAAATATATCCTTTGTTAATTCTTTTTAGAAAAAAGAAAGTACATGTTTGATGTTCTTGTTGATGTAGTTCATGCCAAAAAAAAAAGATATATATATATATATATATATGTATGTATGTATATATATGAATTAATCATTCTTACACTAAAGGTAAATATACATGTAGAATGCATGTCACGTGTATAAAATTTTTGAAGTTCAAAAATTAAGGATAGGACAAAAATTAAGGACAGTTTGAAAACCCTACAAGTTAAGGACATTCATTGCATGCCTCTTCTATTTTAATATTTTTTTTATTTGTGCAACAAATTAGTTAAATGATATGTTTTTTGTTAAATTCCTCTATTTTAAGGGTACAGTTACATATTTATGAAGAATTCTTTTACGAAAAGCAAATAGTAGTGGCCTTGCAAGAAAAGAAAGGGCAGAAAAAGGAAGGAAGGGACTCTAGTGAAAAAGAATGAGAAGAGCAAGCGGATTCTAACTGTCTTTTTTAGATCGGATATGGAAGGAAAAAAGAAATAGTAAATTTTATATACGATGACGGTATATACACTATTATGGCTAGATATAAAACACATATGTAAAATTTGAATTTCAAATTCAAATTCGAATTACATGTCATGCATATAATGGTAAATGTATATACACTGTCAGTGTATAAAAAATTAATCCAAAAAAAAACACTAAAGATATTGATTGGATCAGGGTAGGAATCACTGTGTTTGTTACGAATTGGAATATTGTTTAAAACATTCCTCGCATTTTAATAAATTGTTTTGTCCTTCATTTCTAAAATAGTAATTTTATATCCTTTATAAAATCAAATCGATAAAATTTAATTCTAACCTAAGTTTTCAATTACCTTTTACCCTGAATCCATCACATAACTCATATATGGTCATTTTTGTAGGAGCAAAAAGGTTAGATCCAATTTGTAGTCAAACAAATGATCCAATCCATATTTATTTTTACTTGTAAAAAAGTAGGATTTAATCTGAATCATATTTATTTTCATCAAAAAATGGGACCTGATCCAATCTATATTCGTTTTTGCTACTAAACAAGTGGAATATGACCTTTTTGTACATAAAAAATGGCTGCATATAAGTCACGTGGTGATTTCAGATTTAAAAGTGGTTCGAAACTTAGGTTGGGACCAAATATTGCTAATTTGAATTTGTAAAGAACGTAAAGTTAATATTTTAAAAGTGAAAGACAAAAAAATTCATTTAGCAAAATATGAGCAATGTTTTTAACGTTTTCTCTTTTGAATTTGCCCATAATTTAACAAAATCTAATTTACCCTCCTTTTAGTTTATTTTGTCCTTTTTAGTTTGATTTATTTGTATTCATCCTTTTATGTTCACGAAAATCTCCAAGATAATAGTATTTCAAAATGAATCGAATATTTTTTATTTTGAAGTTTTTTAGGAGAAGAAATTAGAACTCGAGAATACAAAAAGCAAATCTTTTAAATGATAGTAAATATTAATAAAATATCTAATATTTAAAGGTTTCAGATATAATTTAAAAAAGTAAGTTTAGATTATAAGGTAGTGTGGAGATTGTAATAAAGATAAATTACATTAATGATAAATATGAAAAAAATACAAGGATATTTCAAAAAAAATTTAACATTTTCATTGATCTTGGTTTAATGTCTTCTTTTCCCTCAATGTCTGTCTACTTTTAAATGAAATACAGGCTCATAACAAATAATTAGACTTAATCCCTTCCTTTCTTTCCCTATTCTTTTCTTTTCGTCCTAAAAACTCAATCAAAACATCTTTTCATTTCCTTGCTTTTCCTATTCCTCCTATTCCCTCCACCTCTTAATTATAGGTAAAGGATTTTACCAATCGAAGTGCACTACGTTTAAATATTTTTGTAGGATACAAAGATAGAGACATATGAGCCAGGTGATTTTAGTTCTTCATTCTTTTCTTTAGCATAATTAACTTTTTTACCCCAAGCAATTGTAGATCTAATTCAGGGAAAAGATGCCATAGTGTGTATGGAGCCCGAGGCATCTGAAGCACAAAGTCTTCGTTGTACCCAACATGATGACAGAGCACAAGTTTCTATTTCTACTCATGAGAGAGGAATTTCTTCTTTCTTTTACTTTTGTTTTCTTTACAACAATTCCCTTTTAAAAAGTTAAACTAAAGTGATTGAACGTTTGGTCCAAGAGCTCATAACCCTATTTACATCTATGATTCATTTGCTTTAGTAGCTTTCATCCTTCCAAGGAAAAGAACAAAAACTAGTACTAGTGACTTGCAAATCAAAATCTCTATCTTGTCTACCTAGTTTCCTGTTCTTCCTCCATCCTTATTCTTCTCAGCCAACCCCCCCAAAAAAAAAAGGACTTAGCATTTCTTCCTTCTTCAAAGAAATGGCACTAAGCAATAATGTTATTGGTTGCATAAACTTTGTTGCAATGCTTCTTTCAATCCCCATCATCGGTGCTGGAATCTGGCTAGCAACAGAACCAGACAATTCCTGTGTAAAACTTCTTCAATGGCCAGTGATTATCTTGGGAGTTCTGATTTTGATTGTGGCTCTTGCGGGTTTTATTGGAGGGTTTTGGAGGATTCCATGGCTTCTTATTTTGTACCTCATTGCTATGCTTGTTCTCATAGTTTTGCTTGCTTGTTTGGTGGTTTTTATCTATATGGTTACCATCAGAGGCTCTGGCCGGCCTGCAACAAACCGAGCTTATTTGGAATATCATCTTGATGACTTCTCTGGATGGCTTCGAAGAAGAGTTCAAAGCTCTTATAAATGGGACAGAATAAGAAGTTGCCTTAGCTCTTCTAGCATGTGTGCTGAGTTGAACCAAAGTTATCGTATGCCTCAAGATTTCTTCAATGCACATCTTAGTCCCTTACAGGTAATTTCAAGAACTTCATTTTCTTGCTTAAAAATTTACTTCTGATCATTTTTTGGTTCTATGGCGAAATGTTGCATGGTTGGACATTAAAACTGATAATATTGTTCAAAAGTTTAACTACCAAATGTGTGTACTCAAGTAACATATGGTCCATATTTCTTTGCAATAAAAAAAAAGAAGAAGAAGAAGAAGAGGAGGATCAACAAAGTTTTTAATTTTTTTGGTCTTTATTTTCCTTTTCTTTTTGGTTTTTAAGCATTGCATACTTGCTTATTTCCAAAAAAAAAAAAGAAAAGAGGATTAACAAGGATTTGATCTTTATTTTTGCTTTTATTTTCCCTTTTTTGTTTTGGGATTTTGAATTTACCTGCTTACTTCAGCATTTTTGTTTGAAAGGTGAGGTAACAGTAGTGGATTTCTGTTACACCATCCTCCAGATTTGCTCTTTTTACATTCTTCAAATATTAAAGCTGCTGATACCTTCTTCCACTAAAAATGTTAAAAGGATCAATGACTCAAACCTAATATAAAAACTTATCATGAAAGAAAAGTGATTAGTAGGGATCATTTCTTTTTTATTTCACACGTATGCTTTAGCATCTAAAGTATTCTTAGAGTGCTTTCTATGTCAAACAAGGTTTTTACTTTGTCGGTACAGAAAAGAATTAATAGCATCATAAAGCTTAGAATAGTGAAGATTCTTCCACACAACAATTTAGGACCTCAATAGTTAAAGCCACAAATAGCTGCTAACAGTTGAATAGAAAGATTAATAAAAAACAAAGCCTAAATCAAGATTAGGTTTTGTTACTACACTACTTTTAAAACAAAAGAATAAGACACATTGTGTAAAAATTTGAGTTTTTGTTTCTGCAAATTTTATTTTTGCAATTGCATGAATCTAAATTCTTAAGTTACAAAATGTTACATTTACATAAGAAACATGAGTGAGAAAAAATTTTACATGTTAACCATTAGGATCCGTTTAGTGGTCAAGGGAGGATTTTTATTGTTTTTTCTACCATCAAATTTAAGATTCAAATCTCAATAGTTAGGAGTGAGAAGAGAGTGGACCTATGGGGAAGGATGGGAGGCTAAAAAAAAAACTTGAAAAAAAAAAATTTCCTACGTGTTTATACACAAGGGTTTTAAGTTGAATTTTTATCTTTTATATTTTTTCCTGTCAATCATGAAGCCCCCAATTAATCATGTGTGAAAATGGGTTTATATATATATGTACCCGCTAGGAATGATTCACCTTTAATTTTTTCTTGATATTCCATTTACAGTCAGGCTGCTGTAAACCTCCAACACAATGCGGCTACACATTTGTGAACCCAACATACTGGATTAGTCCAATAGACACAGCAGCAGACATGGATTGCCTTCAATGGAGCAATGAGCAAACACAACTTTGCTACTCATGCGATTCATGCAAAGCAGGATTATTGGCTAATCTGAAGAAAGAATGGAGAAGAGCAGACATTATATTATTAATCACACTTGTGGGCTTGATTTGGGTTTATTTAATTGGATGTTGTGCTTTTAGGAATGCCAAGACTGAGGACCTGTTTCGCAAATACAAGCAAGGTTATACATAAAAGTGAGATTTGCGATAGGGTTTAGTGGGGTATTTGTTCCTAATTTCTAGCAGTACTATTTGGCTTTTATCTTTTGCTGATGAATCATGGATTTGTGTCTTCGAGAAGAACTTTGGGATTGATGTATTGAGGTAATGTCAAAAAGTAATGAATGGTATGGTCAAATCCAAGAAGACTAACGTGATTTGTGCAGGGGCGCCGAAAGTTTTTTTTTTTTTTTCTTCCAATTTTCGAAATATTTTATCTCATTTAACAGTGATAGATTTTGCAGAACTGCTGCAGATGCAATTGCCCTGACCATCATTCTTGTTTTGCTGCTCTTGAACTTTCTAGCTCATATTCAGAAGCTGCAAAAGCGGTTTGTTTATATAGATGGTAATACATTCCC